GCCACGGCGCTGCAGTACCTTTTCGTGGCAGCGGCGCTCCAACTGACTCCACCCCAGCACCCAAATTCAACCGGTCTTCAGTGGCCACAGACAGCTCAGCCCAGCCAACCCGCAACTGGCGTAGTTCAGTTGGCCGCTGTGTTTTAGTCTGATTGTCTGGTCTTTTTGGGTCCAGGCAAGTCAGTTTTGCAGTCTACATCGAAAAAGTACCTTAGAAAGTCTGGGGTCTCCAGCGTGCGGTCGAACCAAGCGCCACCATACACTCTGAAGTCAAACTGTTCATCGTCTTCCCCTTTACCTTTTTTTTTTCTTTTTTTCCCACACTTTCGTACCTCACAGGCGGTCATTGCCCCGAACGCCGCAATTGACATAATAACTTGTCCTCCCTTCAAGGGCCAACATTGGTCAATTACCACGCCCCCAAGTCGACCAGGCGGCCACTACGACTTGCTCACTGGCACGCCGGCTGGGTCGCTGTAGGTACGGGGTATCCACAGCCCGCACCCCAGGTCCCCAGCTGCCCAAAGAAGCGATGTCGTGCGGGATACGTGCTAGCGCCCAACGAACGGGAGGCCGAGATGTAAGAAATATGACGAGGTCTTGTGAAGGTTGAAGAAGATGCAGTTGAGGCGGATTCAAGTTCCCCGTTCATTGATCTGACTCAAGACACGGCTACTTCCCGTCGCCACTTCCCGGCCTCTCTCCTAATTTGGGTCGTTGCAGGTCATCTGGCTCGGAGCCTCCGAATGATGCCTCCACCGCTGGGACCGGTTGCTATTTAGCCGCGTACCAGTGTAAACAGTGTAAACAGTGTCAAGATCTTTTATATTTGAGTTTGCCACAATGGATAAGAGGCCAAATATGTATTTGACAATCTGTACTCTGTACGAGCAAACGAGGTTGCAAAAATGGAGCAGGCAAAAGTGAACCAAGTGCCTCGAGGCGCAGTTCCTGGCTTAGGGCTGTGGTTTATAGGGGCCTTTGCCCAGCTCGGGCCGCTGATTATTTAGAATACGGTACGGGCACATGCTCGACAGTTCATACTCAGAACAAAGCGAGCAAACAAACAATAAAATCGCACAACCTACTGCAGGCTTCCGATGCCGAGTTCAATGGCCACCTGCTTGCACAATGACTTCTGCTAAGCCTTGCCAATGGTGTCGCCCGCATCAGATTCAGCACCTACAACCAGCTTACGTTCGTGTATGTACCCAGCCACACAGCCAGCCCTCCCTGGGTGCCTAGTTATGGACAAAACGATCCGGCCGAAATAAACACGCAAGGACACTACATGCAGGCAACAGGCTTGGACGCCGAGACCATCAAAACACGGATTGATTTCCCATTACAGACATTACCCTGAAAAATAAGCGAGACAGTCTGGGTCAAACCCCAACCATCGCCAGATCAACTAGGAATCTCTTTGGTATGGCGGAGCATGAATGAACTGACCATCTGGAACCAGACTGCCCCCTTAGCCGCCATGGAAAGACATGCCAAAAAGCAAGGGCACCAATGGGAATAGAAAGGGACAGTGAGAATAGAGTGCTAGTATGTCCAGTCGTGGCCTGGCGGATTGGCAAACGCTCGTGCCGCTTCTCTGATACACTCAAAAAAATAGGCCGTCGCCCACATGCCGATCCCTCTCACGTCCAACGCATACAGAAGGTTCATGGATTCACAAGGGAGACTCTGGCCAGTCAACCTAACAGGGTGATCTGGCAAGCTTCAAGCTCGTTGTTGTTACATTCGCGTTGCGACACTGACTAGTTAGCGGGAGCACCCTGCATTGAGCCAAGGCGACATTCATCCCGGCCCAACAAGGATACTCGGTCTCGACTGTTCTCAAGACGTTACGTTATCTTTGAACGAGAAGAACAAACGATTTTTAGCAACAGTAGAAACCGTTCATCTTCATACTGGTAGACATATCCACACGCAACACTTTCATGATGTCGGTCGCTGTTTTGCTCTTACCACCCTTTCTGCCCGCTTCTACAGAGTCTGGCAGGACAAGTTTTAGACGGCGTGCATAACGCTCCCATGTGCTTCATGCGAGGCAGGCCCTGTATTAACCAGTTTTTACGGTCATGCTTACCTCGCTCGCCTCAGAATGGTAAAGTGCAAGCTTTCGGTTGCCTTCCCCAATCACTCTGCGACGATTATCATGCGTGGTTTTGTTTTGGCGGCCTCATGCCGCACCTCAGAATGAAGCTGCTGCACTGGCAAGATCTGGTATTATCGACAGTCACCGTCACCACTAGCCATTATACCCTGTCTTGCGTATTTAGCATGTGGTGATCAGTGAGGCAGCCACAGTGACATATCTGACGCTGGCTTGCCGCCTGGCGGTGCAGTGATAGGTCAGGTCGTGTACCTGCATCGGTCTGTTCTGGAAGAAGAAGAATACTTAGATGCATCTCACGTGCTGTGGCTTCATTTCCACTAATCATATTGCAGCAGCCGAAGTTTGTTAAACATTGACTCGGCAGATGGCCGACAGTGATGCGACTTTTCAGCCAGACGACGGGCCTAAGTAAATAGTAATTGCCTCTTTTTAGGGCTGAGGTTGTTCAACGGCACTGGCGTTATAGATTGATATATAATCTCCACACAAATCGCCTCATCTTTGGAGTCAAGCTATCAATAGCCGGCGACTTATCGCCGAGAGTTAAGAGAATCACCGAACCACAGCGGCACAGCACAACATGCCCGTTCGGCGGCTGCAGTATCCCGTCAGCCATTTCAAAGCGCCCTTTTGACATCATTGCTACGATTGAAGGTATCAGACGTCCAAACTGCTGCCAACAACCATGGAGTTCAATGGCGTGTCAAGCAAGGTACCCTCAAGAGAGGGCCCAGTGCCAAGCTTCGAGTCCGACGACTAGTTATTCTACCTCTCCATCATGAGAGCCGCGATGTCTATGGGCCGCACCGTCGCAGTCATTCGAGCGGGGAATTGTTCGGACATACGAAACTGCGGCAAGACAACCCTGGTAGCCAGCGTAAAATCGCTCTAGCTGGGTCATGACCAAGCAGAATTGCCCTCTAACAATGACTATGCAACAATGTAGCTGTCCAGCCGCCCCCATCTGCACCCACTGTTACACGTCAACAAAGTCCCCCCGCACCTTGGTGGGGGAGCGAGCTTCGCTGCCCCTCGAGAGGGACGGCCAGCCTCATCATCGATTGGAGCCTGCAGGTTTCTTTAAAACGCAGCTCCGTGGGTAATTGTTTCGATCTCAGTTCCAACTGATTCCCCCCTTTCTTTTTTTTTTTTCACTTTTTCGAATGAGCTCTTCTCCGAAGCCGATAGTCGAAGAAACAAACACCATGTCCAAGCCCGATGATCTCCCCGCCATGCAGTACCGCTTTCTCGGAAAGTCGGGTCTGCAAGTGTCTGCCATTTCGCTCGGCGGGTGGCTCACGTACGGTGGCCATGTCGATCGAGGTATGCACTCACCTTATCTCCTTTTACATTCGATTGCTTGCGGCCGATGTGGTTGCCGTCAAATTCGAATCAGGTCGTGCTGACTGCTTGCTGCGACAGAGGGCACCTACGCCTGCATGAAGGCCGCATACGACTGCGGCGTCAACTTTTTCGACTGTGCCGAAGTGTACGCCGGAGGCGAGAGTGAAAAGGTCATGGGAGAGGCCATCAAAAAGTACGGCTGGAAACGAAACGACATTGTCATCTCCACCAAGGTACGGGCACATTCTCACCGAATCCCTGGAACAAACAGCCCCTTCGACACTTGACAGTATTCTTTAATTCTCACGCATATGCTTTGACAGATTTACTGGGGAGGCGCCTTTGGAGACAACCCCGTCAACAACAAGGGCCTGTCGCGCAAGCATGTCATCGAGGGCAGCGACGCCGCGCTCAAGCGTCTGGACCTCGAGTACGTCGACCTCATCTACGCGCATCGCCCCGACCGCCAGACGCCCATGGAGGAGATTGTGCGCGCCTTCAACCACATCATCAACACGGGCAAGGCTTTTTACTGGGGCACGTCCGAGTGGCGCGCCGACGAGATTGCGCAGGCGCACCGCGTGGCCGACCGCCTCGGCCTCATCGGCCCCCTCATGGAGCAGCCCGCGTACAACATGCTGGACCGGGCCAAGGTGGAAGGCGAGTTTGCGCTGCTCTACCGCGAGCCGGGCCTCGGCCTCACCGTCTTCTCCCCGATGAAGCAGGGTATCCTGTCGGGCAAGTACCGCGACGGCGTGCCCGACGACTCGCGCTTCGCGCAGACGAGCGTCCAGTATATTGCCGGCTACTGGAAGCGCGTCGGCAAAGAGGGCTGGGACGAGGTCATTGCGCAGGTCAACAAGCTGCAGCCGATTGCGGACAGGCTGGGCATCAAGATGAGCACGCTGGCGCTCGCGTGGGTGCTGCGCAACCCCAACGTGAGCTCGGCGATTACGGGTGCCAGCGGGCCGGCGCAGGTGTATGAGAATGTGCGCGCGATTGCGGCGGTTGAGAAGCTGACGCCTGAGATCATGGCGGAGATTGATGAGATTCTCAACAACAAGCCTCCCTCGATTAACGAGAGAGAGTAAAAGAACAATGGGCCAAGAATAGAAGTCTAAACCAGCGGCAGTACATAGTGTCGGAAATATTCATCCAATACGCTACCAATTGTGAGAATCTCGTCTTCTGGTGTGTGCGTGTGAGTGAGTGTGCCAATGACATCATGATATACATCGGACCACAGAAAGTGCAAGGCACCGCGACATTATCATTTATTCAGAGCCGAAAATGCTCATCTCCGAGGAGGTGACAGGTAACACTGCGGCCATGAATCTCGGCTTTGGACCGTAGCGGGCTTTGCATGGTTGCACAACAGTTCTATTATTTAGTCCGCTGAGTGCCCACAACCTGGCACTTACACGAACAGACAGCTCGCATTGCTCTGTTCACTTGGTGACGTGCGTTATTTTCCAAACCCAGCCCAAGCTCATGAATACCATCATCAACTCCTTTGACAAGTTTCAACATGGCACCCTCCAAATTAAAGGAATGGTTTCCATGGACCACGGCGCCCGTCATCATCAACGCACCCATGATTGGCGCCGCCTGTCCGGCGCTCGCCTCTGAAGTGAGCAAAGCGGGCGGCATCGGTACGTCTCTTCTTCCTTTTCGACCTGTCTGCCATATTCGCCCTCTAAACTCGTTTTTCCTTTTTTTTTTCTCGAATACTTTCTCATTCACAGGCTTTATCTCCTCCATTGTCAACCTCGAGCCAGGTTCCCCCGAACTCACCAAAGCCCGCGACAACCTCGCCGAGGTCCGGCATCTCCTCAACCAGCCGCCCCCCACCGGCAGCGTCGTCCACGCGGGCATGAGCTGCATCACCGGGCACGCCTCCGTCTCGCACTTTACCGACACCGTGCTCCCCGTCATTGCGGCGCAACGCCCTGCGGCGCTGTGGCTCTTTGCGCCGGCCGACGCGACGACTCGCCCGCACGCGCGCATCATCGCCGCGGTCCGGCAGCAGCAGCTCCCGGGCCCGGCGCCGCGGGTGTTTGTGCAAGTGGGCAACGTAGCGGCCGCGCGCGAGGCCGTGCAGGACGGCGCGGACGTGGTCGTCTGCCAGGGAATCGACGCGGGCGGGCACCAGTTCCGGCGGGGCATGGGTGTTGTCAGCTTCGTGCCCGAGGTGAAGCGCATGCTGCAGGACGAGTTTCCGGAGAGGGAGGTGGCGCTCGTGGCGGCGGGCGGCATTGTCAACGGAAAGGGCGTCGCGGCGGCGCTGGCTCTAGGTGTGTTTCTGGTTCCCTTCTGAAACTGCTTGAACTCCATCGTGACCTCTACGCTATGCTGATGCTGACGTGAATCTGCCAGGCGCGGATGGTGTCGTCATGGGCACTAGGGTGAGCAGCCTTTTACGCTGAACAACATCTATCGCGTTTCCAACACTAATGACGAACTGCAATGCTAGTTTACCGTGGCGGATGAGTCGATATATCCCGACTTTCGCAAGGCGCAGGTTCTCGCGGCCACAGACGGCGGCAAGTCTACGCTCAAGTATGAGAAACCCCGATTCATCTTGTTACAAATGCACATGACAGACGCTAATCGCGCGGATGCTTGCCGTCTCACCTTGCAGATCGCCGTTCAACGACCAGATGAACAACAGCGCGCTCTGGAGCCCGCTATACGACGGGCGCGCGCTCGTGTCTGAGATTCATGAAAAGTTCCTCGGCGGAGCGACGCTGGAGGAGTGCCAGACGGCGCTGGCGCAGGTGTCGCCGCCGGAGGAGGCCGCCAAGCTGATCAACACGTGGGCGTAAGCAAGACCCCATACCCCTAATTAACAGCTGTGAAGAATGAGTGTTGCGATGCGTGTGCTGACAAGAGCTTTGGGCGTGTTTAGAGGAACGGGTGTCGGATTGGTGAGGACGGGAGGGCCGGCGGGGCGGATCATTGAGGAGATTCGTCGCGAGACCAAGGAGACGATTGAGTCGCTGGCTGGGCTAATCTAACATTTGACGGTGCACGACGTTACGTCACATTGAAAAGTCCGCCGACATGTCACCTGAGGACAACAATGATTATCAAGCACTGAAAGTCACATATACGTTGACGGACTGGTAAACAGAAATATATGGGAAGCAAAGTCTCCAATTGTATTGTCAAGTCTTGCTTTCCAAGTAGCACTATCCCAAGAAAATGCTTCTATGATACAAGAACAGGAGCTCGCGCAACTCTTGACCGAGCGCGTGAGCCACCGCTCGGGTTTTGGATATCCGTCACATCGTGCATTTTATAAAATATGACAAGAAATTGCATCATCGATCGGCGAAAACGATTGATTTACAGCTTGGCCTTGGACTGGGCCTTCTTCAGGATAGGCTCCATCTTGTTGGCCTTCATGACGTCGCCCTTGATCTTGAGCTTGCCGGACATGAAGAGGCGCTGAGCGTTGGCCTTGCCGGCGGCGAGCTCACCAAAGTCCTTGTCGGAGAGGGAGAGGGTGACTGTGGGGGGAGAGGCTGGTTAGCGACAGGTTCATGGCGAGCGCAAGGCGAGGTTGGACGAACCGGTGGGCTTTTCACCAAGACCCTTGGAGACCTTGCCCTCCTTCTTGAGGTCGAGGTTCCAGCTCTCCGTCTCGCCGGCGGGGTTCTTGAGGGTAAAGGCAAAGACGGCGCCGCCCTGCTTGATGGCGTCCTGGCGGTCCTGATCGCTGGCGAGAGCCTGGTTGATCTGATCAAAGGCGGCGGAGGCGGGGAACTTGGCTGTGTCAGAGTTTAGTCAGTATGATTCATCAAGGATTCGAGTCTCGAAGAAACGGATATTGAAAAAGGATGCGCCTGTTGTTGCTTTCGGTTCGATATATTTCGGCCTCGGCTAACAAGAGCGTAGGGGAACGGCAAGGAAGCTCGGCTTTGGGAAGATGGGGGTAGCATTGGGATACGTACAGTCGGCGACAGACATGATGAAGGATTGGTATCTAGAAGAAATAGAATTGATGATTGGGATATAGATGGACAGAGAGGATGAAAGAGAGAGGAAAGAGGTGATGGTGGAGGGGCTTCTGCAGCTTTATGAAATGGGATGTCGAACCGACCAGAGGCCCGGGGGGCGCCAGCAATGCTGGGGGTGGGAGGAGACGGTTCTCGGCCACGCATGTGATGGGGACCTCGGCCGGGCCGTGATGACCAAAGCCAAACCACAAACCACAAACCACAAACCACCAAAAAGCCAAAAATCAGACAGGCTGGGGTCAAAGGTGGGCCGTACTGGTCTTGACCTATTTGATCACGACGGTATCATGTACTTTGAAAAACGACTTATCGAAACCAAACAAGTCGCAGTGCCTTGTGCGGAAAACAGGTCACTCACAGAACCCAGCAGACGGGCTTTACAGCACATCAAGCGCCCCCCCTGCAACGACTCCCCACAGTAGGTACCTACCTACGGATAAAGTTGCTTGCTTCCCCCTCATCTGCTTGCTACATGCTCGATTCTGTCCAATCAGCGTCCGTATCGAATGAGAGCCTCCTCGGTAACTGCCCTGACGACATAGCCGAAGCTAGCATTTTACAAGCGTGTTGAGTGTGAACAAGTTCAATCATTCTGCCCCCCGATTGCGCTCCCTCCCAGCCTTGCCCGCCCCCGCTGTTGCTACTGCTGCTGATATAGGCGACTCCCCAGGGGAAGCGGCGCCGGCGTTTCCCATGACTTCCTTTCGTCGCCCGGGTTTGAATTAAGATGACTTTCATCGCTCTTTCTCTCTTCCTCTGCTGAAACAAGGCCCGCACGCAACCATTACATCTGTGTATTATTATAGCATACGTCCCAATCCCATAGTAAATCTCTCCCGGCCCATCAGACCCCTCTCGTACCACCGAGGCTTGTCCCGACTACCCAGATGCGTGCCGTAAACGTTTGACCGGGGATGCCCCGATGTAACTATTATCTGATCAGCTCAGCAATGCCATTTGCCATCGCGGAACTGCCCGCCCACCACCGTATCCGCCCACGCGACACCGCACATGACGAGTCGCCGACAACACCAGGTCTCTCGTCTGCAATTTACCACCCAAACAACATTGATTCTTACATGGCCCGATTCACCTAGGCACATGCCTTTGTGTCACTATTAGTCTTTTTTGGAGCAAGAATAAATGCTACTGTACAATGATGCTACTGTACAACGGGCTCCGCAAAGCCCCTACATGTTCCCTGAGTAGTGTTTTGCGCTTCACAATGCCATCTTTATAGATGCCAGTCCGGCACCGCAAAGTCGCGGTTCTGCGGCCAATTCTCCTGCCTAAAATTCTTGTTAGCCAAAGCCCCTCTTCACCGCATAGCAATATCGCAACATACCTCGTCATCAGCAGCGTCGTCATTCTGCGCCGTCGCTCCGTCACATCCTCAGCCGCCGTCAGCCGGAGCCAGTCGCCAAGCCACGTCCGCATCTCCGACTCGCTCTTGCCCAGCACATCGATGCCGCGCTCCATGCACGCGATGCGCAGCTCGTCCACCTCGAGTCCCATTGGTGCACCGTCCGCCACCAGCTTCGCATCATCGCCCTCGAGAAACGCCATGCGCAGCGCGCCCTTGACCTGCCACATGCCCGGCGGCGCCACTCCGCCCAGCCGATCCCACATCGCCCCGGACAGGTGCAGGCTGCGCAGCACGTGCCGCCGGGCCACGCCCCGGGTGACGTTCGGGCTCAGCACGCCGTGCGGGTGCGCGGTCTCGAGCTGCCGAAACGCGAGCCGTCGACGCGCCTCAGCCTGCTCCGCGCCCGCGCGCAGCTGCCGTGGGATGCGGCACGTGTATGGCACGATGCCGTCGACAAGCATCACAACCAGCGGGGAGAACTCACCGCACACGATGAACAGCAGCCCAAAGCACGGCAGCCGCACCAGGTCGTGCCGCACGCGCCACAGCAGCACCCAGTCGGCGCGCGAAAACGATCGGGGCACCGCGTGCGGCCGCCACACCGACGGCCGGTCGTCAACGGGCGTCTGCGCTATCTTTTCCCGGAGCAGCCGCCGGTTGGCAAAGACGGCCTTGAGCCCATTCTTGTAGAACTTTAGATAGCTCTTACCCACGTAAAATAGGTACGCGGGCATCGAGCCGTGCGCCTCGCGCTGCACCGTCTCGAGGACGGGCGGGCGCGTTGACGCCGGCGGATTGAGCAGTGGGCTCAGACTCTTTTCATTGCTGCTGCGCGAGGCGGCGGGCGGCGCGGTGTGATGCACGCTGCGGAGTTGTGACGGTCGTGAGCGGTCGTTGGCGGTGCGGGAGACTCGGGTCGTCGCGAGAGGGAAGTGGTTGTTGGGGAGGATGGTGAACCTTTGAGCTAGCGACAGCGTGCGGGGGGAATTGTGTGCCCGGCACCGCCAAGCAAGGCTTGAGCTCATCGCGATGAATTGACGGCTCGCCTTGAGATTTTTTTGGTGCGTGTGATGGTATATGTAGAGAGATGAGGCGCTTCAAGAATATAAAATTATCGCCGGGATGGTTGACAGTTGGGGGATGGAGCGCCACGGTGGCCCCACAGGCCAATTCAGGCACCACACACAGTAGGTACGTCAAATACTGGCTTCGTACCAGTAATAATCACGTCTTGTACCACTGTGAGTCTTCGGAAAATTATTGCGAGAAAACTATGATGGACAAACAACCAAAGGTAGGTCGCTGTCCATTATGGAGTCCCGGGAGAGGCACCAAATATTAAAAGGGAAAACTCGTGAAACCCGTGGCCAACTATCAATTCGCAGCTTTGATCAGGCTGATGGGTGTAGAAGCGTATTGAATCAACTCACGAATCCTTACGTACCTTGTAGTTATGTCAAAGCTTCTGTTTGTGCTGCATTGGCTTGTCAACATGGAGTTGACCTTTCATAGTAGGTGGCTTGTGGGCGGCGTTGAGCTCGTGGTCTATGTACTCGGTATTGCATTACTGCGCAAGAAGCTCATTCATACCCACTCAACAATCCTTTTTTTTTTTTTTTCATTTCAAATTTGCATCTATTGTATATTCCGTATGCGTGGCATAACAGCTTTGGCAAGAGGTCGTCGGCAGGCTTCCGTGATGTCGCCATTTCTTGGACTTAGTAATGATGGCATGTGGATCGCCTCAAGAACAAATTTGATCTCTTAACAACTTGTGCACTGAAGGGGTCAACTCGCAAGACGAAAAGCACGGCTTCAGTTCCAGAACGAAATATTATAAAAGGAGGCCGACATACGACATCAGAAAATGGTTTGCCGCCTGAAGAAGAATAAAATGCCGCTGGGAGAACTTCGCCAAGTGCTAACCTATATCAAGGTTCACGCCGACGCCTCCAATTTTGACGAGGGCGTCTCAAAGGAAGACGCCTATGAGCAGGTTCTTCTGCAGGCAGAGGGTCTTTTTTATGACCAGCGCAACTGGGTATGTGGCGAAGGGTCAAGCCGTTGATAAAGAGTATTCTGCTAATTCGTACAGGTTTGGTGAGCTGCTTACAATACCCGCGTCGATGTGTCGGGATTCTAATCAAGTACCAGCAACCTTTCCAACGCTGCTGCATTACTGTGGCATGCCTATCAATCTCTACCAGCGCCAAGTAATCGTGTAAACTGGTCCGGTAAGTGCCTACGTCAAGTTGCCTAGACACACGCTCACTCTGCGTGCCTAACAATGCGCAGGATTCTACGTGCTGGACCCGTCCTCTGCGAAGCCGCAGCTGATTCTCGGTCCCTTTCAAGGCAAGGTGGCCTGCCAAATCATTGCCTTTGGCCGTGGCGTCTGCGGCGTCGCGGCTGAGTCGCAGACCACGCAGCTCGTGCAGGACGTGGAGCAGTTTCCCGGCCACATTGCTTGCGACAGCGAGAGCAAGAGCGAGATTGTGGTCCCAATTGTGGCCGTAAAAGACGGCGCAAAAAAGGTGGTGGCCATTATAGATGTGGACTGCGCTGAGCTTCATGGGTTCGATGAGGTGGACAAGAAGAACCTGGAGCAGCTGGCGGAGCTGATTGGCAAAAGTTGTGATTGGTAGGCGTGTACGTATGATGCGGCATTAAGCAATGAAGATATATAATGACTTGGTATGCTGATCAGTAGACAAGAGAGACATGCAAATGACAGTTGGTTGGGACTACGCATATGTTGTTGAAGAGTTGCAAATGGTTAGCAGTAAGCGTACGTAACAAGGCACAGCCCCGGAGCATACGCCAATCGTGGCTTGCATGCATGACAGTCTCACGTTCGGAGGCTTGGTGAGCAAGGGCCGATCGAGATGTATATGCATGAAAGAGGAAGTGACCCAACGGGCGAATGTCTGCCACACCAATAATACGGTGCTAGTAACGACTCGGAAGGAAAGCGGTGCATGAGTGGAGGACGCGTGGGTTGATGATGTGAGTTGGTTCTGGATCGCCCAGTTGCGCGTTGTGCCCTCGAATAGTCTGTACCTAGTTAGGCGCTAGCGGAGTCACTAAAACGAGGGTGGGGGGCAGCTAGAAACTTGGAGTAAACAAACCAAACGAAGAGCATTCCCAATGCAAGGACAAGGGAATCGAGAAGCTCAGTGAGGGAAGAAAAAATCTTCAAAAATATAGAATGGAGCATCAGCAACCTGTTTCATTCAATAGATCGTGTTCTCCGTACTCGAAGCAAGATTGCAGGCTCGTCAAGTTTGGCCTTCAATGCGGTGGCCGGTGCCAGGCGACAGGCCATTTTTAGCGGGGCGAGTGACGAAAGTCAGGTCGCCAAGTCGCCAAAGACGGTGCGATTTCAGGCGGTTGAGGCGGCTTTTACAGCGCTGATGCTTGTTAAACCGCCCTTTGTCTGCCCCAGCCACCCGTTTTCCCGCCCTGGCCGCCCCCAGTCCCAGCCACACACGTACAAGGGGGGGGCCATGCCTTAGTTGCCAGTAGTTAGCCTTTCCTGCCTTTGTTGCCTTGGTTTTTGGTCGTTTGGACTGGGTGCGTGCAGCGATTAATTAAGCTGGTATCCGTATTTCTAGGTAAATTGACCGAGACACAGCTTTTTTCAAGACCGTTGCTGCTGAAACTCCCTTGCCCGCCAGAAGCCTGTAACGCTGAAATACCTTGTTGCAGAGCCGCACCCGTAACAGCGATGCTTGCAGCCAACCAAGGAACCCGCCCCAGCCTCGTTGTGGCACTGGCCCTTGCACCGAATCGGCGCCAGAATCCCACTCAGCATCGCCCAGCTAAAAACACGCCCAATCCAAGCTCACCGTTGCTCCTCCATCATCCGTTTCTTCCTCGGGCCATTTCTGGCATTCCTTTTTCTTTTCATCCTTCCACTATCTGTAAGAGAACAGCTTGCAGTCGTCTCTTATTTTCCATTACCTTATTTCACTCCTTTGGACATATCTTTTCCTCGTCCCGACGACTTTGATCTGCAACAAACGACCCCGCTACTTCCCACCGTCTGTTGCAACCAATGCCAAAGTAAACAAAGCTGCAGTCCGCCGATTTCCACGCTGCAAGCCATCCGTGGGCGACACTCTGAAGATTTCGTGACTTAACAGTCACTGGAAAAAAAAAATAGATTTTTTTTCTTCAGGAATTTCGCCCGAGATACCACTACCATGTCGTCTTCCACCCGGCAGCACTACACGGGCGTTGCCCATACCGCTGGCATATACGCCGACCTCAGTGTCGACGGCCCAATCATCGGCACCCTCGTCGCCATTGTCGATCGTGCAAAGAACCTGCCAAATCGCAAAACAATTGGCAAGCAGGATCCCTACTGTGCTGCCAGGCTCGGCAAAGAGGCCAAGAAGACGACGACTGATATTCGCGGCGGCCAGACTCCCAAGTGGTAAGCAGCCCAATGTCGGCTCCGCCATGCCTGCTGTTCAACTCCAACGTCCCCAGGCGCGCTGCTAACTCGCCAATTTTTCAGGGATCAAGAACTAAGATTTGCGGTTCACGACTCCCCCGACTACTATCAACTCAAAATCTCCATCTTCACCGACGACAAAAAGACGGACCTCGTCGGCGAAGCTTGGATCGACCTCAAGACCATCATTGTGCCCGGCGGCGGCCAAGCAGATGTCTGGCAGAGCTTGTCCTGCAAGGGCAAGTATGCTGGCGAGATTCGCCTTGAAATTACCTTTTACGACTCCCGACCTAAGCCGGACAAGCCCGTCAAAGCCAAGCAGCCCTCAGCCTCGGAGATCGACGTGAACCGGCAGCGAACCTCACCTGTCAGGAGACGCCCGCTCCCCTCCGATCCCGTCACTGGCGAAGCTCCTCCCGCTCCCGTACCGGCTACAACCGGGACCACCGCACCCTCCAACCCGGAATACTATGGTCACCAGCAGACGCCTCCGAGGCACGTGAAGCACCCTTCACACTCTGGCATAGTTCCCAACCTGTCTCCATTACAGGCCATGGAGTACAACAGCACAACTCCTCAAGGAGCTCGACAGCCGGGTGATGGGCACGGCACCTCGCCAGGAGCTACTGCCGCTCTCAGCTACTCGACAACACCCAGTCGCCAACCGCACCGCTCGAGAGATCACTACGAAACCCCTCCACGACAGGCCGACAGCCCTGCCTACGATTTTCAAGACGGCCCGGCTCACCACAGCCATAGTGACCGTCATGAACTGCACATGGGAGATAGGCACTTGCCACCTCTGGAAGTGAGTCAGCCACCACCGCCCCCGCCAGCACACCGTTCGCGCCACAGCAGTGTCGGCCCAGACTCGGTCCAAGTCTCGCCTACAAAGACTGGCCCTTCAACACCCATGAGACGCGATGTTCTAAAGAGCGAAGCTCATCGCCATACAACATCGACCTCCTCTGCTCGTCTGTCCTACTCGCATCAAGATCTACGTTCATCACCTCACAGCCCAGCAGGCTATGGGACCCCTTCACCTAGGCACCAGTCTTATGATGCTGGTCATGGCAACCGTTCATTGCATGCCACCGTCGAAGATGTGCCCGATTCTCCCACAGGACCTGGGAGCTCATCTTACAGAAGCAGGCATGATAGTGAGCCTCCAGCGCCCGTGGGCTCCTCTCATAGAAGCAGGCAGGATAGCGAGCCTCCGGTCCCTATAGCCGCTTCCCACAGGAGCAGGCGTGAGAGTGAACCGCCCTTTGAGCGCGACCCCAGCCCAAATCCATACCAAAGGCAGCTGACCCAACCGTCGCCGGGTTTCCACAGTCAGTCCCCGCGCTATGGCTCTGCCCATGATTATGACGATCAAAATCACGATCATGGCTATCAGGGCTCGCCTTCCACTATGCCCAGCCATGGCTACGTTGCCAGCTCCCACAGTACACCGCAGCATCGTCACGCTAGACAGAGTAGTGGGCAACCTCCACGCCCCCCTACATATGGCATGCCCGCTCCTCCCGCTTCTCTCCAGTACAACGTGGACCCTAGATTGGCCCACGATGTCTCGGAACGCATCAACGAGGAGCGGCAATACGATAGTCGCCTCACTGGACAGCATGCATCACCAGCTCGCGGCCGTCAGAGGAGTGAGCCTCTTCCCAGCTACGCAGCACCCACTCAAACCTATGTGCCACCGTCAAATCCTAACAGACACGGGAGTGCCATCACGTACTCGGGAGGGCCTCAGGATGTTCAACCTCGCAGCCACGGTAGGAACATGCCTGCGAGCCCCGCCCACAGCATTCCCAGAAAGTCTGTGAGCCCGGCTCCGCAGGCCATTGAAGAACAGCATGCCTCAGACGTTCCATTTGGCCCCGATTCCTATGACGCGCTAAACCCTAGTATGGTGTCGTCGCGCTCATCCAACTCAGCGCTGTCCGGACTAGACCGCAAAGACCCGAATGGCAAGATTGTCATGCATGATGGGCGCGAAGTTGACCCTTCTGATCATCTGCCCATGGAATCGTGGGCTCCTGAGCCTGAGCCCAGAGTCAGTCTCAAGTCGGCTTCCTCTGATGACATTCGTCGATCTCCAGGCGGAGCTCAGCCCATGCCACCTAGTGGACGTAGGCATATGCGACTTTCGCGAGCTGAGACGGCACCCATACCCTCCTATGGATATGAGGAACCTAAAACACCACCAGCGCTCACTGCCGGCCGCAACCGCCTGCAGAAGAAGCCTCCTCGAGGCGCCTCCGTGTCTCCTGGGGCCCCGGGTCCATTGGCTCTCATGGAAAACCACCAGGAGAGACCGAACCCCTACGGTTCATATGGACGTCAGAGTCACTCACAGCGCGGCTCGTACGACTACGCAAATGAGAACTATGCCCCGCCACAGTATGGTAGTGGACCGCCTATACCGGCCAAGATCCCGCTGATGAGCGGTGCCAATGCATCAGAGATGTCGCTGGCAGAGGAGATGCAACGCATTGATATTGGCAGTGGTAGATCCCGCCGCCGGGGCGGCTACTGAGACTTGTTTGACATTTCGCTTCATCTGCAAAGATTTTCATGCATCGTTACTTTTTATTTGATTATTCCTGTATTATATTTGCGAGGTTTGGAACGGCGCAGGTTTGACGTGGCCAAGCTATCGATATCATGTACGCAGACGCAGAACGATGTAGAGGATTAAATGTATATATTGAATTAGCATGACCGAATGGAATCATAGAATCAAGGTATTATCGGCCTTTTAAACTCTTTTTTTCCCAACCAGATATTTGAACCTGCAACAGGCGTAGATCAAGCTCCACTTTCTTGCGGTGGCTGGCAGCACCAAGGAAAAAAAAGTGTTTGACCGCCAACCTGGCAGAAAAAAAGTTAGGCTCTTTCACTTCAACGATCTCTTTTTCACCCAAAGTCCTCTGGCATTGCTTGACGAATTCACGATTGATCGAGCCGACGAACAATTTCCCAGACAAAAACGATAGATATATTTAAGAAAACGTCACCATGGCGGCGCAGGTCGAACCCCTGCCGCAGCTCAAACTCGCCGCGGGCCCCTCGCCCATCACGGCCGAGCAGCGCTACTGGCGTACCTTTAAGAACCAGCTGCTGCTGCCCTCGCCGACGAACTACCCGGTGACACACATTTCCTGCGGCAGCGGCGGCGACACCTTTGCCGTGACCACCGGCACGCGCGTGCAAATCTACTCTACGCGCACGCGTAAGCTGCTCAAAACCATTACACGCTTCGGCGACGTGGCGCGCAGCGGCGACATTCGGCGCGACGGCAAGGTGCTGGTTGCGGGCGACGACACGGGCAAGGTGCAAGTCTTTGACGTCAACTCGCGCGCAATTCTGCGGACGTGGACACAGCACAAGCAACCGGTGTGGGCGACGCACTGGTCGCCGACGGAGATGACGGCGCTGCTGAGCGCGAGCGATGACAAGACGGTCCGGCTATGGGACTTGCCGAGCGCGGAGCCGGTGGCCACGTTTGCGGGCCACGCGGATTATGTGCGGTGCGCGCGATTCCTGCCGGGGACGACGGCCAAGATGATGATTTCGGGCAGCTACGATGCGACGGTCAAGCTGTGGGATCCGCGTGTGGGCAGCGGCGTGGCGGCCATGACATTCAAGCACGCGGCGCCCGTCGAGGATGTGCTCTCACTGCCGGGTGGCACGACGGTGCTGGCTGCCGCGGACAGCTGCGTCAGCGTGCTAGATCTCGTCGCCGCGCGGCCGCTGCGGCTCATCTCCAACCACCAAAAGACGGTCACCTCGCTGAGTCTCGCCTCGGACGGGCGGCGCGTCGTCACGGGCGGCCTTGAAGGCCACGTCAAGGTCTTCGAGACGACCGGCTGGAACGTCGTCAACAGCGTCAAGTATTCGTCCCCCATCCTCGCCGTCCAGGTTATCCCCTCTCCCACCAGCGACAGCGATTCCGCACCGGCGACGGACCGCCACCTCGCCGTCGGCATGCAGTCCGGCGTGCTCTCCCTGCGGACCCGTCTCACTGGCCCCGAAGCGCACCGCGAGAGGGAACGCGAGCGTGAAATGGAAGCCCTCGTTGCCGGCCGCGGCGACGCCCTTGACGCCAAGAAACAAAAGCGCAAGCGCCGCGCCGCGGCACAGCACCGCCTTGACCTCGTCGGCGAGGGCGCCGACGTCGTCATTGCTGCCCACGACCCCTCGCGCGGCGGCAGCAACAGCCGCAAAAAGGAGCGCCCCTGGCAGGCCGACCTCCGACACGCGCGGTACGCCGCCGCGCTGGACCGTGTCGTCGACCGTACCGCCCCCGACTACGCGCCGCTCAGCGCTCTTTCCCTGCTACTTGCCCTGCGGCACCGCGGCTCCGTCCGTGACGCCCTCGAGCGCCGCGACGAGCAGGCCGTCCTGCCCATCCTGAAATGGGTCTGCGCGCACGTCTGCGATCCGAGATACGTCAGCGTCTGCGTCGAGGTCGGCATGCACCTGCTCGACATGTATGCCGAGTACGCCGACGCCTCGGCGGAGCTGGCCGACGGGTTCAAGACGCTGCATCGGCGCGTCCGCGCAGAGGTGGACCGTGCGCAGGTAGCGAGCCAGACGGGCGGCATGCTGGATAGCTTGATTTTGGGATGCGTCTGAAAAGAAGAAAGAAATTGAAGTTGGGGAGAGTGAGGGATTGATCTCATATATTCCTGTTGGAATTTCGAGCCAATGTCATATTTAATTGGCATGGCTGAACTGTTGAATTTTCGTCGTGGCGTTTTCTAGGCGTTTGCATTGGAACAAGGCGTTGGCTGATATACTCAAGCTTCTCATGAGAGGAAGTTGAAGGAAAAAAAATTTGGCAAACTATGTGGTCTTCTGACAATGGATATTTACAGCCTGTGAATATATTCCATAGATGTACACGACTATATCTGTTCTACCTTGGCGTTAATCCCATTCGTTACAGAGTGAGACAAAGTGAAAATGACCTTCAACACAGCATGACGAAAATCACAGACAATTGGGGTTCAATTCTCTTCATTTTATTTCGATGCTTTATCTACATCCAACTTGAAGAAAACATTCAAGTAGTTGCTCCTCCCATTTTCCGGATAGACAAGGGAAGAAAAATTCAAGAGCTCTGTGCCCGCTCCAAACTTGGGGTATCCTCCAGTGGTATCTTTCAAAAACTCGCCACGCCAGTACAGTAGAGAAAAACGAAAAAGAAAGCATATTGTAGCGGAATTTGCACAATAGACGTATAAAAGTAGAAGGAAAATGAAGATAGAATAGTACAGCAAAGGGAATAATGAGCCAAGCCTGTAAATGCTATAAAATGGTACTCAAGCCTGTCGAGGAAAATTGGCACGACATTTAGAAATATGTATGTAAACAGGAGAAAGATGAGAAGAGAAAAGACGCAGACAGGCTTTGAGGTATGTAGGATATACGGGAGAAAAAAAAGTGTTGAAGAAGGTAAAAATGCTCGCCATGCAAAACTGTCGCTCGCCATGGTGCACAAAAGAAGAAAGAAGGGAGAAAGAAGAGTCGAGTAGCACGTGGCTCATGATAACAAAGCCAGAGTAAATAAAGAAAAAGGAATATCGTCATCTTGCTGTCGTCGGTGCAAGCAGTGTCGGCCATGTTCACATTACACACGAGAGAGCATCACCCTGGAGCTGGCGTCAAGCGGCTGTTGTGCATTTGCGGTGTTGCGTCCCCTTCAATGGTATTTCTCGGCGGCGGCATGTCGATGCTATCGGATGACGTGCGCGATGCCGTTGTTGGAAATCCCATGTTGTTGGGGCAGAAAGGCTCAATCCCCCATAAATCTTTTTGGATTCCTTCTAGGATATGCATGTCGACGCGCAGTGAGCTTGTGGCCGTGGCGGATTGACGTAAAAAGCCGATCGTCTTTTGGAATAAGTGGCGTAGGAGCTTTTCGTCGACGAACTCGCCCATGATGGGATCTCTCAAAGCAGCAGACAAGACGAGTAGGTTGCCCCATTGAGCGTGCGCGGTGCCAAAGACGCTGGTAATAATAGGTCGTTTCTCTCCAAGCCCATGAAAAGCCCTTGTGCTCTCAACCAGAGCATTGATGGCCTTTTTGGCGAGTACGAGAATTCGGGGATCCAAGTCCTGTACGTTTCTTGCCTGCGGATCGATGCGTGGAGCATCGACCTCGGCGCGAAACTCAGATGAGGGCGGTTGTCCAGTGCTCGGATGGTTCTTAACAAACGAAAACTGCAACATTTGCCTCAAAAAAGGTCGAAACGTGAGGACTTGAGCACCCCAGTACTTGGCACGAAGTCTGGCTGATAAAATATCGCCGGCTGGAGGATCATCTTCCTTGAAGGCGAAACTTGGCCCCACCCATTTCATATCTGAAACCGCATCCAATACTATATCAACACTTCTATACGGCAAATCCAATCGACCCCCCTTGGCCGGGTCTTCCGGCGCGTAGAACATGCGATGAATGCTGTTGAGATGCGTCCGTAGGTAAAGTTGGCCGAGATAGCTGTCGAGAACAGGCTTGGGGAAGCCCTCTAGCAGGCTCATGTTTGGATGCGGGATGTCGTTTTCATAGGACAAAAGGCCTGAAGGCGGGAGAGGAAGTTCCGCAAGCAAATCACTCTCCAACTGCAGACAGGTCCAGAATGCCAACGAAAGCTGGTTGTACTTTGTATCTTTGATAAATGCGCGCGTGGTTTTGAACTTCTTGAGCTTCTCCAAACTAGGCCGCATGATAACTTGGAGCTTGTGGCTTGCCATGTTGATGAACGAAAAGCTCTCCAAAGGCCTTCCGAGCTGACCTTGGTAGAGTCCAGCAAAGATGTCTGCATAGACGTTTTTCATGTTATTGTAGGAGCCGATGTGGTTTCCAAGAATGTCGGTTGCAAAAGCAAAGTACTCCAAGCCAGGTATATTCTCGTAATTTTTCTTGAGTAGGCCGGGACGGGTATTGCCTGCCAGAGACGAACGCCGACCATGTTGGTATGGACGATCCTGATCACGAGGGGACGCTGAGCTCGATGGCTGCGACTGCGACGCATCACCAGGCGGCGAGCCCTTAGGCGATTGAGGAATGCCATTCAGATGAAATCTTCCGTGAGGCATCGGATCACCCACGTGAAGGGCGTCGGGCACATAATCACGGTGCAAGCAGACCTTTCCAAGTGCCAACACAGCTAGGATGAGTGCTGTATGTATCGTCCGACTCGGTCGACTCATTCTCTGGGTGGGTGATGCCGCCGACGATGTGTCCATATTGTCGGGAGGCGCTGGTGATGTCCTCTTACGCTTTGAACCAGGGGGCTCCATCGAACTGCTTACGGCCCAAGCTGTGCTAGCCTTGGTGCTTAACTTGTTGCTTGGTAACGGGAAAGAGTCGAGGAATTGGCGCACCCATTGATCGAGTATCTGAGGTTGTACGATGGGATGCATATTGAGAATGTTTTCCTTGAAGGACTCAACATATCGCAATACTGTACCCTCGGAAAAGTCAGGAAGGCCATCGGGACCGAGAACACCGCTTCTATAATCGACGTGGTCATATGGGCTCAAGCCACCTAGATTCCCCCAGTCTGCCGCTTCGGTCACTGTGGAGGGTGACGGGGAGTCGGATGAATCGTCAGGCGTGTCAACGCTTTGCTGGTCATGTTCCCGTTCGCGCTGCTTCCGTGACATTCTGTTATCCTCACCACGCCCGTATAAAATCAGCAAACCTCGATTTTGTTCCTGACTGATGGGGTACTCCCCCACATAGCCTACACCTTCCCGCTCAACGTGATGCTTTGTCATCTCTCGGATGGAGGGCCAATTCAACAAAAGACCGGCCAGTGTGGTATGGTGTAAGGGAATGGCAGGCTCGCCGACAGGGGGCGGGGGGCCGGGCTCGGTTTCGACTTCGTCTTCGGGCAAAATGGTTTGGTCGGGACCAGCCACGATTGCGTCTTGCGATGAGTAGATGGCCATTTCGTCTCCAGTGAGTGGTGTACTCTCAGTTTTGCAATGATTCTCGATCACCGGATTTACTTTGAGAGTAGGATCAGATTTGAGGGCGACTGACTCGATTTTGGAAATGCGTTCGTCCATGCGAGCGAAATGCTCAACAAGTGTGGAAAGCTGACTTTGCATAGAGGCGATACCATCAAGAATATCCGATTGGGTTTTGTCAGCGCTGCAATTGGACAGTTAGCACTAGACAATGTTTAACACCAGGCTTAGCCGGACTGACACTTTGGGCGGCGGGTCGCGATATTTGCACTCAGTGCCTCTGTCCTTGCATGTTTTACATGGTCTTAGTTCGTCGCATTTCGCTTTCAGTTGACGGCATGAGTCGCAAGCCTAGTTGACAGTTTAGCGTACAAGGACACATTGGAAAAGAGTGATAATGAGATACCTGAGAAGCTCTCGTATTCTTCTTCTTTACTGGGATGACACCGGAGGCTGAGTACATTCCACTACCATACATGGGCTGATCCCCTGAAGATGTGTAGCCGGGTTGGCTTTGGCTCTCGTAAGCTTGATGGGGTTGCATGGATGACGAAGGGCCGGCGTGGTGGCGATACGGCGATGGTGTTGGAGGAAGCTGCGGAGCAGGTTCGTAGTTGACATGGCGCTGAGGCTCGGAAGAATAGGCATGGGCATGCGGGGGAGGGACGGAGTGATGCGAAGCAGATCCATGGCCAGTGTCGAGACCATGACTGCCCGATGTCGGGCGACGAATGTCTTCAGGGCCTTCTCGCTTTATCAAGGAATCTCGCGAGGAATAGGATGGGTAGTGCGTCTGCGCCGGTGAGTGAGGAGGTGGCTGCTGCGGCTGAGACTGCGGATGTCGATAGTGGTCGTGCATGGGAGCGAGAGCCTCTTGGTCGTGATGGCGACGGTCGACGTCAGGATGGTGCAGAAGGCCATGCCCAGAGGTTGGAGGATGACTGGGAGAGATGTCGGAGTGCCGGGGCTGGTAGTTTTGATATCCGGGAGCAGCAGAAGAGGGATGCTGAGGATGGGAGGGGGGAGGCAAATGAGCCGTGGAGTGCGGGTGCGGTAATGTGGTTGGCTGCTGTGAGGTGGTACTAGACCACGAGGACAGACGAGCCCGTTTGCTATCAATGGGAGCTAGATCCATCTTTGTGTATTGTAGACAGGGCCAGAGACACACAGGCTCATAGCCGTGGGTGAGTCGAGTGGCAAAGCTAGGACCAGGCGAGGCAGGGAGCCATGGACAAGAGCCGAGACGACACGAAGAGAAGAACCAAGGCGGGTGTCGCGATATCGCGGCCTTGGGGAGTCTATTGGAACTTGGAGAAGGCTGCTCAAAGGTGTGGTCTCGCAGCCTGGCTGGCCGACATGGGGTTGGGCAACGACGTGGCTTGGGACGCTGTCAGTGACCAGACAAGTAAAGGCTCTGCTAACAGGAGCAAAAAGTAGCGTATGTAGTACAATGATTTGAAAGTGACACGGCAGGGAAACGACGAAGTAGACCAGTTCAGTGAAGAACTGGGACGGGGCGACGGGAAGCGCAGCAAGAGGACGCAGGAAGATGGGGGTAGGGTGAAGGCGAAGACGACGCTAGAAGCGGTGAATCGCCCGAGACGGAAGAGGAAACCAGACAGAGCAAGAAACGAGGCGCTCGTGGTTGGAGTTGAAGGTCGAGAAGAACAAGAAGCGCAAAGCAGAGCGGCGGCGTGTGGGGCGTGTCGCGGAGAGACAGGGCCAAACAAAGCTTGCCTTTTGCGGGCTGAAGAGCAGGAGCCGTCGCACGCTGGGGAGGACAGGGATAGTGTCGGGTCGGGTTGAGGTGGGCGAGTGATGGGCCGTGTATGGCAACAGGCGGCGCGCCAGAGGCTGCGATGCGGCGTACGGGTGTTTGCGCCAACGGCCGCAGGGACGGAGCAGAGGGCGGCAGTACTTGTATGGTGGCAGCAATGGCGGCGTATAGATGGGCTGCAGGGCCAGCGGGTGTGTTGGGCATGAATATGCAAGAGAGAGCAGGGCCGAGGGGGGGTGAGGAGGGGGGAAAGGGTAAGAGGATCGAGAAGGAGGTGAGGCCAGAGACGGCCGGCGACAGCGGAGGGAAGACGACGGTGGCCAAGCAGAGCTATCAGTACCAGCTAGTAGGTACGTACCTAGCAACCTAGGTCGTTCATGTACCGACGTAGGTAAATAGGTATCTAGATACCTACGTAGGTAAATAGAACTGGCGGAGGCGTGCAAGGCCAGAGAAAGGCTGATGGGGTCGAAAAGCAAAGACCAGGGCAGCAGATCTGTGATGAGCGGGCGGCACGAGCGATATGGGACAGCAGACGGGCAAACGGGTAGGTCTGCAGGCCAACTACCTAGTTAGCTGGAAGAAGCGAGCAGCAGCTGTGTGAGATGCATGTACAATGCAATGCCGTGCGTGGCTGAAAATGGTGGTTGCGGGTGTGTTGTGCTGGGTGGGCGGAAAGGAGCTGCGCAACTGGGCTGCACGATACAATGTACAAAAGTACAAAGTACAATGGGGCAAGCGGGCAATAATGCTCAACGTAATAATAACGCGGTGTCTAAATAGTACCGAGACTCGGTACGGATACTCGGTCAATCGGTATTCTGCGGTGGCTCGTGGCAGCAGCGAGAAAAGACGGTAAGCTGCTGGCTGTATCGACCAAATACCCAAGCAAGCATGGAGTCCAGGACCAAGGCTGCGGGTACGAGCTCCTCCATGTTGTGGGCCAGCGCCAGCTCTTAATGTCCACTTGAGCTGTACTGGTACTTTTCTGTCTCGTTCTGTCTTGTTTTTTTTTCTTCTGGTCGCGGTGCGGGACGAGCTAAGGAGCCAGTTGCCAGGCCGGGCAAGGATGTCTGGCAGAGGACGGCAAGGGGGGTCATGATGCATGGGCCTTGCTGCGTGGCCAAGTCGGTATGCATGGGCACGGTTGGTAGCTGTAATGAGTCGATGGTCAAGAATGGGCAGATGGGGTAGCTTGTATTCGTAAGGAGGGAGGTGAGGGGCGAGCTAGCAGCGTACGAAGTAGGTTAGTTGGCAAGTTCCGTCATTGTTATGAGGTCAAGTGGTGCTCACTCTGGGTAGTCTGGGTGGTGCGGGACAGGTTAGAGGTAAGGTACAGGCAGCGAGCTACCAGTGCAGGCTCCAGAGTACTGGTGGTTCGACTGCTAACTATTGCCTAGAGGGTAAAACAGGGCCTGCCAACCGCATCCCGAGGATACTAGGGCCCGACGCGGATAGTCGGGGCGATGGGGGCCCAAGCAAAGTGACGTGTGTGAGGACAAAGTGAAGCTGACGATGTGAAGTTTTTTTGTGTAGGTCTTGTTTACCATGGTGTTGTCCTGCAAACAGAGTCCATTGGGGGGTTGCCAGCTGCCAGCTGCCAGGTAGCATGCTACCTTGATATCTATTACCTACCTATAGACAGGCAAAATTATGCAGTGCAAGGTAATCTCTGGCAAGTGTCCCGCTGCCTGCATGCAAAGGATGAAAGGCACAGTCAATGACCCCATCGCCCAGTCGCAAACATTCGCGAGAAACCCATAATACATTCAATCTCGGCAGTGACTTGCTTCCCCATACTCATCTCTTCACGACAATTCTGCGCGGCGCTACTGGATTTTCCACCACTGCGTGTCGTCACCTTCGGCCCTGGTCCCCGTTTGGTGCTTGTCTCCGTTTGGTGTTTGACTCCGTTCATTTCGGCATCCACAAGATTACCTGCTCTGTTTACTTTTTTTTTTTCTTGGTACACATTTCAGTTACGAGCTGGATTTCTCGTCTCGTATTTTCGTTTATTTTTCGGCCAGCTTGTGCTCTACTAATTTGTTACTCAGATTATTGCCGTACTTTTGGCCTTTCGCCGCCCAGTTCCCAGTGAGTTTTAGTGATCACCTATTCATTTACATGCATCGATACTTACAGTTTGTCTATATACCTATGTAGTAGGTACATACCTACCTAGGTATGTAAGTAGCCTCTTCGGCCACCTCGCAAGGCTGCCGGCAATCGCAGACCAAGGTCATCATTGACCGAACAGACTATGATTAGAAGACATGCCCGTATCTGTCACCATCTGTTCGCCTCCGCCGCAAAGGAAACCCATGGCAGCTAATAGGCGAGTAGTTGGCACAGACGTTTTCAACTAGCCCTGCTGCCTCACGTTGCAGGAGCACTTATTATGATTCATCACCCAACATCTCCTGCAGCGCGTCGGTGAATTTAGCAGTACAAATTTCGTATTACTAACAGCGCTGGCAGGTACCATTCAGGTACAAACGCTCGCATCACCACTCGTCACGACCCATCACCAACCCATCACCAGCCATGCCCAACAGTCGCAATGCAAGCCCTCCACGTTACCCTCGCAAATCCTTCCGTTTTCTTGCACCAATTATGCCGCCCTAACCCATAACATCGTGTCCCTTGCTTTGATCAGCATCATCCTCTCACAGACTCCCGACTAACCTGCTTTCGAATCCACCCATGTGCAGTCCAGTGCCGCGCCCCCAAAGCTGTCTCCCATTGTCGTTGCCTCTTATCACGCCTCTCCTGGCCTCTGCCTGTGCCCTTGCAAGCCTGACCAGCTGCACCAGCCGCAAGTTTATTAGGCTGCTGCAGGTCCTCTTCTCTCTCCCCAGCTTATCGCTAGTGCCCAGTGGCGCACATCCCTCCTCCCCCAGTTAGGGCAGCCCGCTGCGGACCGGAGCGAGGCGAGAGGCAAAATGGTGGGTGTCATCATTAATACAGAAAGCCCACCGTGGAGTTCTCTGGGTCGTAGCGCTACGACGAGCTGGCGGGCACTCTGGCTGGCTCGAAATCACCGAAATCAGCCCGGTCGCTCCTTCGCCTCTCGCCGGCCAACCAGCCAGCCTTCTAGCTTTCTTGTCCCGTCTGCCAGTTTATGCAAATGACCGAGAACCTGACTGATGACTAGCTAACTAACTAACTAAATAGCTGAAAAGCCCCTTCGCTCACTTGACACCGCCCACGCCGCCGCTGCCATCTATTCGGAGCTGCCATTCCAGCCTGCTCATCCTCATCCTAACCATGGACCAAAATAGATACGGCGGCAAGACATACTCTGTTGTCTCCTCAGAATAGGGGTCGTGCCTCTCATTCACCCAGTACTTATCGCTCAGCTCTTCAACTCCCCACACGAGGAAACAGGAACGCAACCTGGACGCCTCGTCGGCTCAGAGATAGCCAAGCTCAGCAGGGGAATGACGCGACAGAGGCAGTAGCCGTTCTCTACTGCGAAGATGGCAATAACTATTCACATATGAAACGCGATAAATCGAACGATTTCTCCAAGAAATCAGAAGAGCCATTCTGACAAGATTCATCTATTATTAATGAAAATCGAATTTTCCACCTTTCTACTTTGCTAGTTATAGCATTGTCCTACTTGGCCACTCACACGCTTGGTTGATCATTTGATCGGCAACCGTTTCCGCCACATGGATTTGCTGCATGCCGCTGCACATACGGATTACAGCGCACATCGTCGCTTCCGATGTCATGAAACGCGGTGCTGTAAACGATCGCTGCTCGCAGTTTTCAAACTCTAAAACCATCACTAACAAATCAAGTGGCTGCCCTTTCAAGCTCCATCAAGATTGCATTGCCTGGCAAATTAGGGAGTTCACCAGCGTTGCATCGGTGGCTTTGGCCGGGATTTCCTGCCCAATCGCGTCCCCGTTCCGTTGCGACTGGAGTCCTGGGCGATTGTCTTGATTCTTGGGCGTTTTGGAGAAGGGGGGGGGCCAGGGACGAGGCTGCCAATGCTTTTCTGGCAAATGTAACATGCCCCTCGCCGGCAGCGTCTTCCCCGGCATCGCCGTCGATTTCTCGAACAAAGTTTCGACAATGGAACACGCTCGGCTGCAATGAGTCCTGACGCCAGTGCCATCAATTCCCTGCTGTATAACCATCTCCACCAGGGCCGCCACACGGACTGATGTTCTATTTATCATTTATTAGCGCGCCAAGTGCTCGGTGCGGCGGTGCCCACGACACTTTTCAACGTGTTTCGCCCGCCCTGGGCAGTCACACCGTACACGCGATGTCTTGCCCACCACACCATGACGTGTTTGCGACATGTTACTTTGCCCAGTCCCGATGACTCGCCTAAACTAACA